CTTGCACCTCTCCAATGGGCTACAAGCCCTCACCTAGCCAGTGTGATGCTGTGAACCTCACTTAATATCCCTGCCTGGCCCTTTGTGATTAATTTCAGTTTTGTTTTTATATTTACATAGCTCTTTTCTTTCCCTCCCTCCCTCTTTCTTTTTTCTTCCTTCCTTCCTCCCTTCCTCCCTTCCTTCCTTCCTTCCTTTCTTCCTCCCCCCTCTTTCTTTTTCTTTCTTTCTTTCTTTCTTTCTTTCTTTCTTTCTTTTCTTTCTTTCCCTTTCCTTTTTTGAGACTGGTTCTCCCTGTGTAGCCCTGGCTCTCCTGGCACTCACTCTGTAGACCAGGCTGGCCTTGAACTCACAGAGATCCTCCTGCCTCTGCCTCTAAATACTGGAGTTAGCAGGTCCACCATACCCACCTATTCACACAGATTTCAGGTTCTTTCCCAACAGGATTTTAGATGCAGTTAATCCAGATTATCTGGATGACCTTGAGAACCAGGCTCTGAGGCCCCCTCCTGTCATGCAGTGAGTTCCTTCCTAAGTCTCTATCTTTACCTGTGTCTGTTTCCTCTTTTCTACATTGTGCATCTAGAACCAAATTTCATCTGAACTGCTAGACACACCAACATTTCTGCAAGGCTGGAGCTTGTAGTTTCCTCTTTTCTCCTTCCTTCCTTGTATGTGTATATGTCTGTTTCTATGTACATGTTTATACAAGGTCCAGAGGTCAAAGTTGGGCAGCTTCCTCACTCCACATTATTTTTAAATTTTATGTGTATGAGTGTCTTGCCTTCATGTATGTATATATCTGTACTGCATGCCCACAGATACCAGAAGAAGGCATCCAATTCCCTGGGACTGGAATTAGAGTGTGAGCTTCTGTATGGGTGATGGGACTTGAAGCAGGTCCTCTGAAACAGCAACAGGTGCTCCTAACCACTGAGCTCATTCTTCAACCCCCTGACATTTTTTAAAGTAGTGGTTTTGTATTACAGTTTCTCGTGTGTTTGTGTATGTTTGTGTGTGTATGTGTGCGTGTGAACCCACAGTATATGTGTGGAGGTGAGGGAGAATTTGACCTTCATATTCTACATCTATTGTGTACGTCTGGAGACTGAATGGAGGTCCTCCAGGTGACAGCAGGAACTTCATCCTCTGGAAGCTTGCAGACGGACATTTCTTTCCCACCCGCCAGTTCCCAAATAACTGCCATGGAGAATCAGCATTAATTATAAGTGCTTGGCTGATAGCTCAGGCATATTACTAACTAGCTCTTACAACTTAAATTAACCCATTTATATTAATCTACACTCTGCCACGGGGTGTTATCTCTCTTTCATCTTGCACCTCCTGTTTCCTTTCCATGTCTCACTGGTGACTCCTCTGACTCCACCCTTCTTCTTCCCAGTGTCCTTAGTCTGCTTTTCCCACCTAACCTTGTCCTGTCCAGCTATTGTACAGTCAGCTTCTTTATTAAACCAATCACAGCATCATTGTGTACAGAAGGATTATTCCACAGCAGAAACTCACCAATTTGGCAGTAAATGCTTGCCAAGAGGCCAGGAATGCTCCTGCCTCTGCCTCCCCAGCACGAGGATTATGAGCGAATGCCCCCACAGCCAGCATTGTCACGTGGTTTTGGAGCCCTCACTCAGATTTTCATGCTTGCAAGGCAAGTGTTTCCCAGACTAAGCCCTTCCCCAGTTTTCACTCACCAATTTTTTTCATATATTTCTCTAACTTTAATGACTTTGTTTTTTTCTTAGGTTTAGGTTTGTTCATCTTACTATTTTATATATATGAATGTATTTTTTATATGTGCACTCTGTGTGTGCCTGGTGCCCTCAGAGGCCATAAGAGGGAATCAGATGCCCTGGGACAAGAGATACAGAAGATTGTTAACTATTATGGGTGCTAGGAATGGAACTGAACTCCTCTGGAAGAGCAGCCAATGCTCTTAACCACCAAGTCCACTCTCCAGCCCCCTCACCCCCTTTTTTGAGAAGAGTTCTCATGCATCCCAGGCTGGCCTCAAACTTGCTATGGGATGACTTTGAACTCATCCTTCTGCCCTCACCTCCCGAGTGCTATATTACTGTCCTGTGTCACCACACCTAGCATTTCTCTTCCTTTCTTTTTTCTGTCTTTAATGGTTCAGGGAATTGAACCCAGGGCTTGGCATGCTAAGCATAAGCTTACACTCTACTAGTGAACTGTATTCCCAGTCCTGGGCAGTCTTTTAGTCAGTGGGATGTCCCTCCTCCCTGTGTGATCAAAATTTTCCAGGGTTCCATGAAGGACAGTTATATAAATGCTCTCAGCTCCTTATAGCCACCTTGGATTTCTGACCCAAGACACAGATCTTTGTATCAGATGTGTGCTTAATTAGGAAAGAGCCTTTCCTGTCACTATCATTATTGGCCCTCCCCTCCATGATGCCTTGGATGAGGAAACAGGCCCTAAAAAGCAGCTAACCCAGCAGCTAACAATGCCTCATCATACTGAAGTGTGTGGCTTCATCCTGTTCTCTGGTAGTTTCCTCTTCTGTCTGTCATTTGTTTTTATTTTCCTCTCTGTCTCTGTCTCTATCTCCATCCCCACCCCCCACTGGCAATGAGGGAGCCTCATACATGGTAGACAAGTGTTCTAGTAATAACCCACACTGCCAGCCTTCAACTCCTGAGTCTCTATTTTTATGTATGTTTTTTTCTTTTGAGACAGATAGCCCAGGGTGGCCTCAAACTTGGTAGGAGACCTTGGACTCCCCAAACTCTCCCCTCTGCCTTCCAAGTGCTGGGATCACTAGTGTGTGCCAACACCCTCAGTGTAGTTTCTGGGTTTTGTATTTTGTTTTTAGATTTATTTTATGTGTGTGCCTAGTGCCTGTGGAGGTGAGAAGAGGGTGCCAGTTCCCCGGGAACTAGAGTTAACATATTTAGGAACAACCATTTGGGTGCTGGGAACCAATTCAGGGTCCTCCAGAAGAGTAGCCAATGCTTTTAACCACTGAGCCATCTGTCCACCCTCTAGTTCCTGACTCCTAACTTCTTTTGGGGAAGTTAAGCACATGTCTGATGGGGTCAAGAACCTCATCTCCCACCAGAGGCCCTCTATAGCATAGGGCTGAGCATCCAGTCGCCCGTAATAGGTCCAGTTGAACGAGGTAGCCAAACTTGATATTTCCAATCCCAAAGTCCTTAGGGGACATCTTGTTCATCTATTCCACAGTTTTAGGTCTTAGGGATTACAATGAAGAAGACAATAGTCCCTGTCCTTGTGGACCTTATGTCCTAGTTGTAGAAAGACAAAAAGAGTGACTTATGAGATACGTTAGACATGGGCCCAAGGAGAAAAGGAGTGGGAAAGGGGAACAGGGAGGGGAGGGTTGCAATTTCTAGACCAAGGGTTTAACTAAGGAAGTGTAAAGACCTAAGAGCAGCAATTAAGGGCCAGGGCTTTGGCCTGCTTCTTTCCAAGGATTTTTTTTTTCCTCATCCTCACCTGGGTGGGGTTTGTAATAGAGTGGTGCAGTTGATGGGTTTCCCCACTCCCAAGATGTCATAAACTTGCTGATACAGCAGGGCCTGGTGGTGAACACTGTAATCCCAGATACTCAGGAGGCTGAGTAGAAAGACCAAAAGCTTAAGGCCTACCAGGATCACAGACAGAGTTAAAGGCTAGCCTGGTCAACTTAATGAGACTCTGCTTCAAAACCAAGTAGAAAGTAGATGGCTGTGGTGGTGCATGCTAGCACTTGGAAGGCCGAGACAGGTGGCTCTCTGAGTTTAAGGCCAGCCTGGTCTACATGGCAAGTTCTAGAACTGCCAGAGCTACATAATGGAGAGACCTGTCTCGAAAAAATAATAATAAAAAAAAATAGAAAAAGGGTAGCATGCCTTTAATCCCCCCACCACTCAGGGGGCAGAGGCAGATGGCTCTCTTGAGTTTGAGGCCAGCCTGGTCTACATAGTGAGTTCTAGGACAGCTGGGGCTATGTATAAAGACTCTGTCTCCAATAAATAAATAAATAAATAAAGGATCGGGGATGTAGCCCAGTGGTAGAGCACTTACCTGTCATGTGTAAGGCCCTGGTCTCAGTCTCCAATATAGAAAAACAAACTCATTCATGCTGAGGTACTGGCAACTGTTCAAGGATAACCCCTGAGCAGCAAGAGGAAAGTTCTGAAAAGCCCCACATGGGAAATCTCAGCTCAGGAGGGGCCTGAGAGATGGGAACCACACCCCCTCCCTGCCTGTCTCCCCCACAGAAATTGAGTCTCACGTTATAAAGCAAGAAGATATACTTAATGGCAAAGAGAATGAGATTAAAGAGTTGCAGCAAGTTATCAGCCAGCAGAAACAGATTTTCAGGTGAGGGGCCGGGCCAGGCTTGGGGGTTGTTGATGGAAGTGGGGAGCCTGACTTCTGGCCCCTGCCCAGGGCTGTGCAGCCTACCACCAGCCGGCTCCGTTGCAGGAATCACATGTCTGACTTCCGGATCCAGAAGGAGCAGGAGAGCTACATGGCCCAGGTGCTAGAACAGAAGCATAAGAAAAGGGGCCCGGCCGGCCCCGGAGCCGCCAGTGTCGCAGGGAAAAATAAAATGGTGGTTGCCTTCCTGTTCTCTGGCTAAAATGCCCAACTTCTACCTTCTCTGTTCTGGGGAGACCAGCTCTTCTCATCCATCCCTGTGGGTCCCTTCACCCCTCCAAGGGAGGCTGCTCTGCCTGTCTGCCTCTCAGAGCAAATGAAGGCTGCATGGGGACAAGTCTGGAGACCTGGGGACTGCCACCACTGTACACACTCTTCTGAGCTTAGGAGGAAACACTGCTTAAGACCAGCCCCTGCTGCTGCATTTCTTTGGGATAGGGTAGAGCTGATAGGAACTGAGTCTTTGTGGTCTAGCAGGAACTGCTACTTGCTTTTGGTGATTAGTCATTTTCTCCATCCGTAGCATAGGTTAGCCCAGTCACACTCTACCTGAACTCCAATAAATGTGATTCTCTGGGGTTGGCTATAATGTTAGGGAAGAATGGAGTATGTGTTAGGGTAGCCTGACCAGACACATTAAAGACTGGATTCCAGGACCACAGTGAATCTGAGAACCAGAAGTCACCCAAGTAATAAGAACACATGTATAAGCCAGGCAGTGGTGGCACATGCCTTTAATTCCCAGCATCTGGGAGGCAGAGTCAGGAAGATCTCTGTGAGTTCGAGGCCAGTGTGATCTACAGAGCAAGTTCCTGTCCTGGCCAAGGCTACACTGAGAAACCCTGTTTGAAAAAAAAAAAGAAACAAACCCCCAAAGCCAAATAAAAGAACACGGGCATGTACTAGCCATACAAATCACTCCTTCACCTTCTTACACTTCAGAACAAAAACCTTCACAAGGAGGAAGGAAGGGACAAAACAGGGAAAGGGCCATGGCTTGCTCAGGTTGCTCAGGCAGGTCTTCATAGGATAAAAGGCTAAATCCTTTCAGAAGTCTTCACTTTGTGTGCCCCTAAGTGATCATGGGGGCTGCAAGAGCTCAAGATAAGATTGGTTAAGTCGTAGCTGGGCGTTGGTGGCGCAGGCCTTTAATCCCAGCACTCGGGAGGCAGAGGCAGGCGAATCTCTGAGAGTTCGAGACCAGCCTGGTCTATAAGAGCAAGTTCCAGGACAGCCTTGAAAGCCACAGAGAAACCCTGTCTCGAAAAACCCAAAAAAAAAAAAAAAAAAAAAAAAAAAAGATTGGTTAAGTCTAGCCTGTGTTGGGTCAGTGTAAGGGTGAGTGCAAAGGAGGGGCCAGCTTGCCTGAGGACCAGCTGGGGCCTGAGTCATAGCAGGACCTTCAGGCCTGAAGTTAAGGGCAAGTGATATCCTATTGTCATGACAGCTGGTGGCTGCTTCCCTACCAGGGAAGAAAGGAATGTTGTAGAGCACTGGAATAAGGAAGGGCCTTGTGAGCCTGGGGCCTTAGAGGGAACCCTACAATGGTTTGTCTCCCAGGTTTGTTCTGGGTGCTAAGCAGTTTGGGAAAGCTAGCTAGGGATAGCCTTCACTCCATCTCTTCCCTGTGGATCTCACTAAGCGATGATAAGCGATGAGTCTAGCCTGCACCTTCCTAGGTTAGGAGAAGCATTCTGTTTTTCCTTACCCTATGGAAGGTGGCTTGGCATGGGTGTGAGGGAAATCAAGGAAGCATATGGATTGTAGTTAAGGTAGCCATGGAGGAGTTTCCTTGCGGAAACCTGTGTTGGGGCTGAGGATGTGGAACTTCAAAATCCCACACCCTGAACTTCTCAGGTAAGCCCCTTGCAAGGCCAGTTTGCCCACCTGTGATGGGTGGAGTTGGGGCTA